ATGCGTCGAAGTTTACCTCCCCAGGGATCCTTGCCCCGCTTTGTCTTATCGCCTGAACCTGGCCGCAGCGGCCTAACCCGCCGCACATAGCCTTAAGCCCCAGCATCCTCATCCTACATCAGTCATCGGTACGTCGACTGCGCCATCAATCACGACTGCCATTCCAATGAGCAACGCCGCTTTGATCGCATGCACAAGATGTGCCATATCCAAGGCACGTTGCGACCGCAAGGTGAGTACCCCAAAGCCACGCGCCTTAGGCCCCCAGCACGACACCTAACACAACAACAGGTACCATGCTCGCAATGTGTTGCAAGAGGATATGTTTGCCAGCCACGTTGTACCTCGCGCCGGCCGCGAGCTCCTCGAAAGTCGTCGGCACGAAATCTGAACCAGACTTCAGCAGAGCCGACCAGCACCATCAGCTCCGATGGCAGCCATGTCCCAGGCATGGAGCAGTTTACCGGCTACATGGTACCTGAAAACCAGTCGCAGAATAACGATATGTTTGCGTTCAATACGAATTTACCTCAAGGACCTCTGGATCTGGGCGGCTACGATGATTTCATGGGCTTCTCATATCCCGGTGCGCCTTCCAATAGCGATGCCATGGATACGAGTACATCCAACAACCTCTTCACCTCCATGCAATCTATGGATATGCACGGAAGCGATCCCCAGTTTTCACCACATGCAGCGGGCGGCCAGATATTCCAACAACACCATATGCCACATGTCTCGAATCAGCCACCGACGCCACCAGATACAACGCCCCGGACGACAAAAAGCGTTCCCGCTAGCCCGCCACCTGGGATGCAAACCCCGTTTAGTCCAAAACGCTACCCTCAAAAGAAGCCTACAGATAGACCTGCAACACCGGATGATGTACTTGCGGAGTTGGTGGAGCTGCTCGCTCAGCCTGACGCGTGGCACGGACTCCCAGGTAGCAACAGCGATTCCAGTCAGACCCTCTCACACGATGCACGCGACCGCATCGTCGCGACCGTTCAAGTATTGCTGCAACGTGCACTACAAAGCCGCTACTCACCTACAACACCAAGCCAAGGCCTCTTTGGACGCATCGTAGTACTGCCACCGTCCCATGTACTTATGCACTTTATTGAAACCTACGCAAGTCGCATCGACTCCATCCAACCCTATCTAGGTCTTGCTGGCTCTTCCGTTGTCAACATCCAAGATATCCTCCAAATTGATACGGCAGATGTTGGCATACTGCTGATAATTCTTCTGATTGCGCAAGGCGCCATGCTCACGGACCATTCCGAATCTCACATACTCGCGAACGGCTTGATAGAAGTATGCAGGATCGCGTTGGATGATGTTCTTGAGAACCGAAGCATATCGCAGCCGATGATTGGAGGTATTGCACTGCAGTTACTAACGCTTTGTGCACGAAGTGGTAAAGACTCTTTTGCTTCGTACGCTATGTCGAAACGAGGTCAATATTTGAGTGTAAGGGATTCATGTTACATATCACTGCAAATAGGCTCTAACATACGCAGATGCTGAAGAATTCCGGCGTTCTGCAACCCGAACAGACCCTGCATAACCCGAAATCCGACGGAATGGAACTTTGGGAAAGATGGAAAGAACTGGAGCAGCGCAACCGGTAGGACCCATTTGTTTCCCCATGGGGACGTTTCGCTAACATCTTCTAGACACGCGTACGCGTGGGTCTACGTAGATCTCGAGATCAGCTTATTGCACGACCTTCCACCAATACTCTCAGTTAATGACTTGCAAGTCCCCTTGCCGCAAGATAACGACCTATGGCATGCCCAGTCGTATAGCGCTTGGCTCGAGCACTCTGGCGCGAATGGGACCAGGTCGGGCCCCTGCAATCCCGCGAAATTCGGTGCTTGGCTGGAACAACAGCAACAACAAGGTGCCAATGGAGCTCGCTCTGGTCATATGACTCCATCGCTCAACGGCCTCTTCCGAAGTTTCCTCCAGGGCCGAATGGGTGATGATTTACCTCTGCATCACCTTCGTCTTCTCCTCCATCCATTGCAAGCCATGGTGCTTGAGCAGCAGCAACTCTTGCGAATTTTCGATACCGATGAGCCGTCCAACCGATATCGCGTCCTTTCCAAGATCAAGATTTTGGGTCGTTTGCAGGAGACGCAGGATTTGCTCCAAGATTTGGGAACGCTTCTAACTCGGCGCTCCAAAACCGCTGCTGTCGAAGATGACAAGGGCCAGGTACACTCCACTGACTTTGTGAGCATGATTATGCTCCATCTGGTTAGCTTGAATGTTTTTACTAGCATCCCCGAGATTGAGAAATGTGCCAAGGAAATGCCACCCGCTTCGGACGCGGCCCGTGCGGAGATGTGGCGGTGGGCACGCTATCCTGAAGGGGAGAGCTATGTTTTGTTCCATGCCGGGCAAATATTCCGACTGATCGACGGGTTACCAAAGGATGCGCGACCGACCTGGTGGCCGGTAGCTTTATACCGTGCCGCCATGTCGTGCTGGTCACTCCGATCTTTGGAACGGCCTTCTTCGGCATGCGCCCAATCGCTCGAAGTCTGCATTGACGCCTTGTTGCCCGCTGAGGAAGAGTGCTTCCTTAACACGACTACCGGTACACCGGTCGTCACCCTTGGCGATAAGAGACGGCTGCCCATTCTGGAAGGCAACAACAGCTTGCAATACTGTATCAGCAAGTTGGAAACACACCCTACACATTGTTCACGTAATGTTCTTGAGAAGGCTAGGTACTTCTTAGATAGATGGAGGTCATGATCACACTGATCCGGTGCCGGCGTTCTATATCAGGTCTGGAATTATATCAGGTATTGGGAATTTGGTTTATTAGAACCAAAAGGAAATGAGGGATGTCATTCGGAAACATCACCAACCGGCGCTTTACAAACTGTTCATATACCATTCCTAGTACTTGTTCTAAAGGTAAACACTGTCTTTATAAGTTCGAGCGGTCAAGACGAACTCCAGCAGATGCCACTAGGCTACATTATTCAAAAGTATTTGGTAGAAATAGGGATTTCGTATTTGTCACCCACAAACCAAAGACAAGGAAAGACCGGAAGGAAAACATCGCCGAAAAATCTACCCTACAAGTTCTTGGTAATACCAGGACTGGCTTTTTCCAGAATCTCGCTCAACTCCTTCCAGATCCTCTTACCAAGCTCGGCACCCTCAGCACTCCTCGCCAGTGGTGACGGCTCGGAGACATGGTCGTCAATGATATATTCGCCCTGGCTGTCGGGCAGTGCAGTCGCATTCACCAGCAACCGACTGCCAACCTCCAGCGGTCGACCCAACAGCTTTTTGAACACCACTGGTGCCAAACCCATGTCCTTGACCAACTCAGACTTGCAAAGACCAGGAGTAACGCAGTTGATGACCACGGGGTACTTCTTCTTGTCTTTGATCAAGACCTGGGTCATGTGTCGAATGAGCAAGATTTCCATTAACTTGGAGACATTATACCGATCTGCCATATCTGCCTTCTTCTCGTCGTCCAGCTCCGCGAAGATACTCTCAGCGTTCTTCTGCGGAAACTGCGTCCAGTGGTGCACCTCAGACGTAACAATTGTAAGATACGGCTTGGTCTTGTGGATTTCCGCGGATCGGCGCAGAATAGGCAGCAAAAGCAGCGCGAGCATAAATGTCGAAATGACATTCACGGTAATATGCGCCTCATGTCCCTCCAGAACATTGAACTTGCCTTGTGCGATACCTGCATTTTCGAGCACGATATCGATACAAGGCAGACTCTCGCACTTCTTCGCAAAAGCTTTCACGCTAGCGTAGGAGGACAAATCCAGTTCCCACACTTGCAGAACACCGGTTCGCTTAGTGCTGGCTTCAATGTCACGTAGAGCGGCTTCGCCTTTCGACCGTGTTCGGCAAGCGATAATCACGGTTGAGGCGCCGCAGCGCACGAAGTGGCGAGCTGCCTCTTGTCCAAGCCCGGTGTTTGCGCCGGTTACTATAACCGTTTTGCCGGTGAAGGTTGTGGATTCGGGGACTTTGGGCGTGTAGAGGAGTTGCGATTTGAGGAATGCGGGAAAAGATGACATGGCTGCTTCTGCGTGTGGATGATTTGGGAATCTGATTCGTATGCCTTTGCGTATGCAACTAAGCTAGTTGGCGAGCTGAGCGTGTTTCGCACAGACCGAGAGGATTGATAAGGTGTGGTGAGATTCGATCGTGAGTGTGAGTTTAGTCAGGCAAGCAGCAATCGAGAACTTGGTGGAAGAAATACGATAACAAGTAGGGCGCACGTTCAACGACATTGACGTCAAGAGCAAACAAAACAGTCACGGATTAGTCAGACTCGGTGTCCGGTACTGCGTCGATTGACAGCGCGCAGTTCCTATTGTCCTTAACTTTCTTGCTGATTGAGTCCTCGATACGGATGCTAGCCTCGTGTTTGTCGGAGGTCCGTCGAAAACACAGAAACGGTTAGCGTGCCCTATGCACGGTGTTAGGCCACCTGCCATTGGCTCTATTTGGAACAAGGTTTTGTCCGTCCGCCCTTGCAGGGAAGGACCGATCATCAGCCTCAGCCGCAAATAGCGGGTCTCGTGTCAGGGCAGCCTTACTGAGGCTTAATCCTTCTTAATGCTTACTGACCACGCGGTCCACCGGTCGGTGGTCACGACTCCGACGTCGATGGTGAATGCTGGTATGCGGGAGCTCCGATGCTGAGGATGGGTACCGATGGATGGAGAGCCGACTTGTAAATGCGATGCGCGGGATGAACGGAGCGAGAGGAAACATCTCGGTGGTCTTGGTATCGAATGGAAGACTTGGTGTTGAAGTAAATGCAGAAGACGATGTGCGTTGGGATGAGATATAAACGTCCTTTAGCCACCACGACAATTGAATCACCATCATCATCAGTCATCCATCTTCTCGCCTTTTGATCTCTATCTCAATATCACTTGAGTTTTACCACCCCTCTTTCAAACCCACCTTTTTCCCGATAAACTTTCAAACCCGCCAATATGCTCACTTTCCAACACCTTCAGCTCGGCACCCTTCTCCAAGCCACTTTCCTCCTGGGAATGAACACGGCTCTGTCCACCATCTCAATTCCCTCCATTCTTGAGTCGCCCTCCCCCATTCTTGCCATTCGCCAATGGCACACGCAGTTCCGCTCTGCGCAGATTCCTGCGACCTCTCTATCAGGATCCAACTTGATCCTCTCCGCCATCATGACATATGGCTCTTCCCAACGCTCAGGGTTGTTGGCAACGCCCACAATCCTGTACGGCGTCGGTAGTGTGCTTGCTTTCCTGATCTTCCCATTCACGCTGCACTACATGAACCCGCTCAATGATGTTCTTATTGAGAAGTTCAAGAACCAGCAGGATTTGCATTACGCGGATCTTCCGGAGAAGGGCAAGGGTATGCAGACTGCGAGGGTAAGTTTCTCTTTTCCCTGTACTTGCGAAAGTGGTTGCTAATGTTTGGTGTAGGATCACGACAAGATCGCTTACTGGGGGTACTTGAACCGTGTTAGGATTGTTCTTTACGCTGGATTCGTTGCTGTTCACGCTGTTGCTCTCTTGGCTTAGATGTGTGGGCGAGTATCAGCTGGGGGTGATCAGGCAGAGATGTTTGTAAAGCGAGATGGCGATCTTACATCGGGGGTAGGGGGAAAGAATGCTGGCAGAGGAAGAGTTTTGTTAGATGTGCGCAAAGTTGACGTTGCAGAAGTTGAAAAGTGGTGTTTCTCTTTGTTAGTATAGTGCTATGACTTTCTTCATTTGCTACATGTCTTGGAGGTTGATTTCTTACCGAGACGAAGTTTGAGCGTTATAGCAATCATACATTGACTTTTCTTTTGATCAAGACTCGAATAGTGACTTATTATCTATGTATCATGCGTCCTGCTTCTGCTTCTGCTTCGTTTGACCTGCGCAAGTTCAAGAACGCTGGTAAGCTAATTTCTGCCCACGATTTGTGGTGTCGTGGGAAATTTTATGTGGGTGAGCGCCCTAGACACAGCGCTACGTCTAATGTTCTCGTCTCAGCATCATGGAAACTTTGAAGTTGGCGATACCTAGGTAGCTAGTGAGTGGGTGCGATGATGGAAAAGATAAGGATATCGCAGGTCATTCGACTACAGTCTTCATCACGCAGCAAATCAAGACGCAGAAGTTCAATGATGATGAAGATAATATTGTATATGGTAAGAAGAGGTACGTAAGTCAGTATACGCGGAAAAGTCGACGGCGCCGCCAAAGAAAAGACAAACCGAGATAGCTACCTAGCCAAGAATGCAACGCGAGAAGTGATTAAGCGAAAGAGTTGTAATGGTTGAACAGACCCTTTGGATCGTACTTCTTCTTGAGAATTCGGAGCCTCGGCAACTTCGCCTTGCCGTAAACCTGTTCAGGCTTCTCGATACCACGAGCATAGTTGGGGAAAACATTACCCTCCGGGTTTCCACATGCAGTCATCATGTCATCACGAAGCTTCTTCACGAAAGTGTCCACCGTGTTCGTCTGCGCAGCGGTGACGCCCTCTGGCAGGTTGAATTCAAAGAAGCCGTACGACACTGACTTGCGCCAAGCGTAGGCAGTCGAGTCATCGCTGATAGTCGCGGTAACGCCAAGACCAAATTTCTCTAGAAGCCAGAAAGCATTACTGACATCGGGATTGGCGAGAAGGAAGTTGATGTATTTGGTGTATGTGTCAACCAGCGTAGACACAGTGAGGGTGTTGAGTTGGTAACCCCACATGTCGGCTCGGACACCCTTCTGGCGAGCGAACACGTCGCCTCCGAAGTTAGCAACGTACACCAGCTGGTTGTAGGGCACAACGGTGATGTTGCTAGCCCTTGGCTTCTGATCGATGAAAGCCTTGATAGCGGCATCGCCCTGCTCCTTGTTGCCGAAGTAAATCGCACTAAGATCGATTGAGGGGACATTGTTCCTCAGAGAAGAAGAGATCGATATGGCAAGCTTGTCATCCTGACTTCCCTGATAAGTCTGCAGAATTTGAAAGATAGTGGCGTTCTTCTCCGCGTCGAACGACATATCGGCGTTGTAAACCATACCATTGTTGATGGTGTCGTAGATGCGATAGGTCGCTGATGTGACCACGCCGAAGTTGACGCCTGCACCTCGCATGCCCCAGAAGAGGTCGGAGTTCTCAGTAGCCGACGCCGTTAGAATTTGGCCTGATCCGGTTACCATTTCCACGGAGAGCAAGGAGTCAATTAGAAGTCCGTGTTCGCCGGTCAAGGGTCCAATACCCCCACCCAAGGTGACGCCGATGATACTTGGTGTGGAAGACCCACCGGATGCTGGAGGTTCTGTCAGTACACGTGGGGGCCTTTCAGACCAATCGGGGACTTACGCATCATCTTGCCAGCCGCATACAGGGGATCGTACATATCAGCAAACGTAGTAGCCGCTCCAATGACCATGGTGTTGGCGGAAGCGTCAACTTCAACCTTCTTAAAGTTACTCAAATCAACATTGAGTGCATTCTTTAGACCACCAAGAGTGGTAGTGTAACCGTGGCCACCGCCTGTTGCCAAGAGAGAGACCTTGTTCTTGGACGCATACTGCAAGATCTTCTGTACGTCTCCCGCTGTCGCAGGTTTGGCAGCAACGGTGTAAGCTGGTTCAGCTTTAGAGTAGATGCTCCAACGTTGCGTAAAATCGGTTGGGTAAGAAGCATCGGTGGTAGCAACGACTTCCGATCCGGTAGAAAGAGTGGATGACAGGTCGGTTAGGATCTGTTGTGAGGTGACTGCAACTGCCTGTTGTGTAAGGACAGATGCGACCAGAACGAATGATGCCAAGAATGCCATAACGATGGAATGGTACAACTAGCCGCTAGCAATGCAATGCAGGTGTAACAAGGATGGATGAAGCAACGATAGTACCACTACACAACGTGGTCCATCTGGTTTATAAGCTGTTCACGACTCCAGCTCAGGCCGTCCTTCGGGCCATCTCCTAGAGATGGCAATAATAGGTATTGAGACGATAGAGGACCAACTCCTCAGCCACGACGCCTCCACGAAGCCATTTCCGAAACATCCATGGCAAAGAAGGGCCGTAGTGACAGACTCGAGCCATATTCTGCCTCGAAGCTTGAGCCACTGATAGTGTCTTAGACCTAGGTCTTACACTAATGCAACCTATCATGCGCAGTTCATGCAGGCAACCGTTCTCAACACCAGTGGAGTGGGTACCGGGTTAACTGTCAGGGCAATACGCAGCTTGCATTTGCCTACTCTCCCGTGCCTGGGTCGTATTTCAAGACATGGAAGTACGCGCCACGCGAATAAGTCTATGTGCAGTCTGGAACCAGGGTAAGACGGATGTCCGTCAGTATGGTACTTCACGATCGCGCTCTCCATTCTTGGAATGGTGCTCGGCGATGCTACTGCTGACTGGCCGGCGGAGTACCGCGCTCTCATCAGAAGCGAACCATTGGTGACCATTATAGATTACGATCTAGTAGATATCCGAATCATCGAGGGAATGAAGGTGCTGATGTCGATATACGGGAGCTGAGAGCTGATGCATCGTGCTGCAGGTCGATGGAAAGTGTAAGGCATCCCGAGGTTGCGAGCTTTGGAGTTGGCCAAGACTGGTAGCGCGGGGGTCGCACGTGTCGATCTAGCCTACTTGAGCCGAACTTGGAAGCGGCACATTGATCCCCAACCCCTGACCACCATCACGGCGACTATGAAATGAAACTACCACGACATACGGCAACTCCGCGCCTGACTGTATTACGGCTCTCCACCATCGTTTGATGTATCCGATCGGTCGTCGGTAGTTGCAGCACCGTTAGGACGAGCTTCCGGGCATCGCGAACATGGATGCAAGTTGTGCGCCAAACGGGTCGCGGTATGGCTGACATGCCTGGAGGCAAGACGCCGGGAACGGTCCGAGAGGATGTGTTCGATAGAGAGATGCCAATCCGGAGTTGGTACCATAGTGAAGTTGACTGGAGGGCCTGGAGCAGAAGAGCATGATAGTTAAAAGCGCTCTGGACTGACCACAGATTCGTATCAGTTCACTACCTCATCAAGTTGTCTTTCGTTTGACTTTGGCAATCATGATACAAGCGAGTGTTCAATCAGCCTCACAGGCTATGCTTTCTCTCTTCGTCCCTAGCATTGCCTTTAGTATCATCGGTGCCATTCTTGTTTTTGCCGTTCGCCTTCTGAGGAACGACCCAAAGAAGGGCAACTACAAACCACTGCCGGGTCCGAAAGGTTAGTTCTTCTAGCCCAATGCTGGCAGACTTGCTAACATTGACATGAAGGTTTGCCATGGATCGGACCTATCCACAAGTTTCCTTCTCAGCATGTCTACAAGAAGTTTGCTGAATGGGTATGACGTTATCCAGTTCTATCCATGGCCCAGCTAACGCTTGCGCAGCATGAACAATATGGCCCAATCTACCAGTTCACTCTCTTCGGAGTGACCCATATCCGCATTAACAGCGAGAAGATGGCCCAAGATATTCTTGCAAAGCGTGGAGCACACTACTCGAACCGTGCGCCTACACCCAATATTCCAGGCGCCAAAGTCGACGCGGAATATCTCCCCCTTCTGGACAACAATGAGGCACTTACGAGACACCGCAAGTTCGCTCACCAATGTCTCGCTGAGACCTACAACTTCGATATGTTTGGATTCACACATCTGGAGATCACGCGGATGATGTACATGTTGATGAAGGACAACCGTAATTACCCTGATTTGGCTGAAGAGTTCACCCATCGAGTGAGCGCTCGTCTCGCATGGGAAGACCCTACCCTGAGTCGCGGTCTGAACCAGAGCTCCGCCGGTCTACTCTCGGCCATCTCTCCAGCGGGTCAATTACCGAACAGATTTCCCGTGGTCCAGAAGTTGCCGAATGCTATCAACCCATGGTACTGGAGAGAGAAGGCCCGCCACGATAAACAAAGAGAATTCTGGGTTGGTGCGATGCAAGCTGTCAAAGCCAAGATGAACGCTGGTATGGATGGACACTCTTGGTCTCGCACGTTCCTCAAGGAGCAGACGCGTTTGAAGTTCCCCAGCGGCGTTCCGGACGACAAGGAAGGTGCATTCGCAGTTGGTATGCTTGCGATCACAGCATCGCTGCCTATGTCCTCGCCCATCCAGACATACTTCCTCGCCATGTGCCACTACCCTCAATGGCAAAAGCGACTACAACAAGAGATTGACGAAGTCTGCGGCCCCGACTGTCTGCCCACATGGGCCGACGCACCGAAGCTCCCGGTACTAAGGGCGATCGGCAAAGAGCTAATCCGCTGGAGGCCCCCAGTCCCCACTGGTGTACCCCACGAGGCCGAGAGGGACGATGTGTACGACGGATACTTCATTCCCAAAGGTGCGCTAATTCACCCCACCGAGTGGGCGCGTCGAAGTGATGAGTCCATGTACCCCAACCCAGAGGAATTCAACCCTGATCGGTACCTGAACCCGAAGTACCCTACCTACAAGGAACCCCTTACAAAGTATCCCAACGTCATCAACCATCACGTTTTTGGTTATGGTCGTCGCAACTGTCTCGGCATGGAGATTGTAGACTA